TTAAGGTTTAAGATGGGTTCCAGGCTTGGGGGATGAGGCTGCTCGGGGCTTGCTTGGATGATCATGGGCGCGTTTTCAGGCTCAGGGCCATCTGTCTGGATTTACCCTATCAGGGCACGTATGAGAACCCGAAAGAACAAACCCCTTATGAGGGGAACACAACTGACCCTGAACGGTATGCCCTCTGATGAAGCTTGGGGTTGCGGATAGGTTGGCTTTGAGGTTTTGAGAGCTTGCAGGGCCGCTTCGTCAAGAACTCCTTTTCTCCGAAACCCACAGCCCGTTGGGTAGTCTTATGAGCCCAGAACCCTAACAAGGGCAAAGTTGCCCCCGCGGGGCGCGGGGCTTGACAGTGTAGGGTTGAAGGTTCAAGGCTTGACCTGAGTGCGGGGCGATCTCCCCCACCGACAAGTTCAACGCCGCGGCGATCCCGTGCATTTCTTGTGCATAGTCTTTGTAGTACCTGCAGCATGCGGGTTCAGGGTTTAGGGCTGAAGGTCCTGAATCTTGTGCCGGTTCCACCCCCAACCCACCCTCACATCTATGCCCCGCTCCCCACCTTCTGTAGAGGGCTTGCGCTCGCCCTAACGCCCTTCATTCCAGCCTCCAACGCCATAAAGCCCTAACACAGCAAACCCTAAATCCGAGAAGGGCCCCCCCAAGAGCCCCTAAAACCCCGGCGCCAGGCTGCACCGACTGCAGCGTCTTGGCGATGGAGTTGACGAGGGGAAGCACGGCCGCGGGAATGTACTTCCTTTGCAGCTGCTGGGCTTAGGGGTTTAAAGGGGTTCAGGCTTTGGGGACGTGTGGGGGGCAAGGGCTCGGGGTTGTAGAGGGGGGTGCTGTTGGGAAACATTGCTGATCCCGACCCAAAACGATGCAATTACGTGTCTTAATGTTGCACCCGCAATATTCTAGGGGGACGCTATTACGAAAATTTTTTGGGCTATTCAGGATCTTGGCCCTTTGTTTTGGGGTCCGCTATAATGAAAAGATTTCGGGCCGTGACTGTTTTTTTGAGGGTGTCAGGAAGGCATAAGCTTCTCGAAAAAGAGAGATACTTGAAGCCTGAAGCCTCGACCTGTCCAGGATCTCCGACAATCTTCTTTTTTCAGGGCGCCTTTTCTTTATAAATTCCTTACTTAAAACTAGATGATTCCATAGGCGAATCATATCCGGAAAGGGGGTACCTTACGGAGGCCTCCGGACACACTTTAATACCTTTGTTTGGGGGCCCGCTATAATGCAAGTCTCCCGGGGCCAAGGGCTCAGTCCTTCGGTTTTCAGGAAGGCATAAGCTTTCTCGAGAAGGAGGGATATTTGAAGCCTCCTCGACCTGTCCAGGATCTCCGACAATCTTCTTTTTTCAGGGCGCCTTTTCTTTATAAATTCCTTACTTAAAACTAGATGATTCCATAGGCGAATCATATCCGGAAAGGGGGTACCTTACGGAGGCCTCCGGACACACTTTAATACCTTTGTTTGGGGGCCCGCTATAATGCAAGTCTCCCGGGGCCCGGGGCTCAGTCCTTCGGTTTTCAGGAAGGCATAAGCTTTCTCGAGAAGAAGGGATACTTGAAGCCTGAAGCCTCGACCTTTCCAGGGTCGCGGGGTAGCTTAGGGAGGCTCCGGACCCCCCCCCCCCCGACTGTTTGGGGTCTTTTTTTATTCAGGCTCGCGACTGTTGAGGGGGGGGGGGGGGGGGTAACTTATTAAAGCAGGTCCAACATTACTGGGACATGTTAACTTTAAGCGGCCTAAGATACCAATCACACATTTGGGGGTTTAGGTCTTAGATCTTAGGGCACTAGGGCAGTTAGGGCAGTTAGGGCATGTAGCGTATTCCATTCCGAGTTTAGGGTCTGAGTCTACTTCGAGCCATACATTGGCAATGAAAATTGTGCAGAACGGCGGTACTTAGCCCCCCCCAAAAGCCGGGACGCCAAAGGAACTAAACACTTCCTTGGTGCTCCCTGTCTACCCTAAATGCCCTTTAAGAAAATATGTAAATAAAGCATCCTCAACCCGAAACCCTAAACCCTAAACCCTACAACCCTAAAACCCTACAAGCCCTATATCCGCAATCGATTCCATCGGACGGGTCGCTCCAAGTAGCCGGTGGCCTTCGCTCGGTAACTCTCAAAGCCGGAAACATTGGCCAGGAAGCTCCACCTCTCAATTGTAGGGTGTTGGGTATGGGGGGGGGAGGCGGGAGGGGGGAGGGGGGGGGGGGGGACATATGTATATACATATGATGTATATGAGTCGGCTAAGCCTTGCTTGTGCTTGAATTAGCGAGCCCCCATATCGCTTTCCATGTTTGTCACCTACCGCACTTTTATCCTATCGTATCAAATAGCAATATCATTTTAGCGTGTCCCCTATCGATCCTCGGCGTGTTGCTGCAACAACTCCCCCGCTTCTAAAAGAAGCAAGCAGCAATTTTGACCGCGTCTCATATATCTATATATATATATATGTACACATACACATATAATCTATGAGCCTTCAAAGGGATACAATAGGGTTTAGGGTTATGGCCTGAGATAGGGCTTAGGGTTTAGGCCCGGCGCTAAACCCAAATCCTAAACCCTGCGAGTCCTCCAAAGAGACAAGTACCAACAAAGACGGCGTCGCTCAGGTTGAAGGTTTGCAATTACGTCTTAAGGTTCAGGGCTTCCAGAGGTTTCAGGGAGCAGCCCCAAACAAACCCTAAGCCCTGCAACCATGGATTGGAAGCTTTGGAGCGCGAGGTATGAAAGTTCATGCGCACACGGGCAGGCAGCTAGGGAACATGGGTTATGGCAAGTCTGCTGTTGCACACACCCCCCCCCCCCCCCCCCCCCCCCCAAACAGCCAGCAGCTGCGCAAGTGATGAATGTGCTACTACACACACCCCGCCTTGAATCTTGAGACAGGTTTTTGGGGGGGGGGTGGCAGGTTTCAGGGGAGCCGAGAAACCTGGAAATGAAATGAAATGACATGAAGCAAAATTGCATGTGTAATGGGCTTGGCAAGGGAATCTTGGCGGGTTCTAGAAGCCCTAGAAGCCCCCTTATAAAGACAAAAACACAGAACCCAAACCCGATTCAAAAAACAAAATTCTGTTAGTTCAGCCTCAAAGAAATAACACACAAAAAAGCCAGAACCCTTAACATTAACCAAATTACTTTTGGCACAAAAAGACACACACACACACACCCTGGGAATGTTCAAAAAAAAACGAAAAAATAGCAATCCCTAAGCCAACCCACGCACTGCCCCCAAGTAAACTTTGAACCCTAATCCCCAAACCCCCTTCAAGCCCCTAAACCCCCCACTCCTCCCCGCTCCTCACCTCGACGCCGGCGCTTCGTCGAGGTTCACAGTCAGGCGCCGTGGTGGCGCAGCGAGGCGCTCGCTGGTGCGGATGCGGAGGGCCTTCGGGGCGCAGGGGGGAGTCGGGCTTTAGGAGGCTCGGGTTGCGTGTTTTGGGGGGCTCAGAGTTTAATGAGAGCGCATGGCTTAGGACAACTTTGCTGACTATCATAGCTGGCAGTGAGTTGCAGTGGCTTAGATGCTGAGCATGTTGCTTGCAGAGGTTTCTTGGACCGTCGAGAGGCTCGTTTGCCTCTCTGTCCACGGCTTCACGGTAGCACGAGCTGAGAGCAACAGCAAAGGATTTGGTTGGAGCTTCATGGGCACTTACACACTGAAAATCAGGAAGCCGATACCACAACCCTATTTGGGGAACTTGGCAACCCCAGTTGCGTCTGTCCCATCATAATTAAACCTCCAAGGAAGCATGGGGGGGGCTAAGCTCTGGGGTGCCTGGAATGCATTCCGATGTATGGTTGCCCCAAGTCACGCACCGCCAACTATACTCATGGAACCATGGACCTCGAACCCATTACTGAGTTGGCCCTGGACATCCTACGAAAAATATTCCTAAACAAGGTCCTCTCAAAAGTAGCTAGGGAATTTATAACATCTGTATCCAAAGTGCCTACCTACTGAACCCTTGGCTTTCTTTGTATCCTAGATAATCCCTGACAAAGTTCTATAGGGATTCTAAGCTTCTAAGGCACCTAATTCCCATCCAGTAAGTATGGCTGCAATGCAGTCCTCATCCTCGATCCAGCTACCGTCAGTGACGGAGAAGGCGGCCAAAGCAAGCAGCAGAAACATGCTTGGAAAGGTGGCTGTCGACATTCCGGACCTATTTAAGGTTCAGGATTTTAAAGAGTATCCAGAGTGGGATGCTGCGGGTTCTGTAGTCAGGATGCCACTTCCCTGCGTTATGGTGATGCATTTTGAAGTATGTCGATGGGACAGGGCAGATCTTGCCGCAAGAGCTGCGGGCCAAGCATAGAAAACGCGCAAGTTTTGAGAAAGAATGGTCTCCCTCTACTATCGCGGAATCTCCCTGTAAAGGACCCCCCCCCACCGCCTAATTTCGGAAACTCTCATGTCGTTCTTATGCTCCTTAACATGCAGCGGCCATAACATGGGACGCGGGGGTTGTGTCTGGAGGGTTTAGGGTTCAGGGTTTAGGGTTCGTTCAAAAGGTTTTAGGCTACTCGGCATGGAAGCGACAAGCCCAGCCGATGTACTTCGAATCGAAGCCCCCGAGTAAGAACCAAACGCTGCGCTCCAAAGCCGAGCCTCTACATCTTAAAGACACAAAACTAATTCATGGTTGGGATAGCATTAAAATTGTAAATGTCTATTCCTTATTGGGTTTACGTGCCCTCAAACATGTAAAATGTTACCCAACTATGACAAAGGAAACCCCAAACCCTGTGCTTTGGCTCGTCCGAAGCACGGGAGTAAACACCAGCGCTTTTCGCTTCGCGGTTTAGGGCTATGGGTGTCATCGACTGCTGGCGGCCTGAGCACTTGCCAACCCCTCCCTAGGATGGCCCTTTAAAAACCCTCGGAAAATATTCCTGATGTGATCCTCTTCAAGCCAATCAGGGAAAGCATATCCCAAGGGACTACCTTGCTCCAAAATACCCCGCCTTTGGCGCCGTACATCGTGAAGGTCTTGCCTGCCCCGGTCTGGCCGTACCTGGAAGCGAGTCACCAGGTCCTTAGGTTCTGGACCCGACAACCTGAAGCTCCAAACCGTGCAACTCTGAAGCCAGACCCTCCAGGACCTAAAGTTCCCCAGACCCGGAGCCCCACAACCAAGTCCCCAAACCTCAGACACCTAAGTCGCCCTATGTCGGCGAGACTCGCTGGTGTGAAACGCAAAACCCTGGGTTGGTTTTGATGGGTGCTCCCACGGCAAGATCAGTTTAGGGGTTGGGGTTGAGGGTTTAGACTCAGAATCCATGGGCCCTGAATTGTTTGCATGCGGATCTGCCTACGCTTTTGTGTCGTTGTGCGATCCAGGTCTGAGTTCCCTCCGCAAAACCCTCAGAGGCCCTTCATCCCACGACTTTGTAACCCTTACATGTATATGTATATGCAAGAAAATAGAAAAATAAATAATAAATAATTAAAGATATATATATATACATATGTATATATATATATATATACATAAATAGACCGTATCATCCATGCCGTTTATACAAATTACCCCGGGGGTCCGTAGTCCCTCAAAGGTAAGAACTCAGGAACCCTCGGGTCTTGGGAGCTTGTGCCACAAGCCAGGCGCACGCGAACATCGTGACGTTGTAACCTTGGGCTCCAGTTGAACCCCCCAAAAAAAAACACGGAGGCTCATGAAAACCCGTAAGATCCGTAAGGCCTACGCAGTAGAGTTCTAGCCGATAAACCTGAAACCCGAAGCCCCCAAACCAATACGCAGTAGACTCCTAGAGCCTAAAACCCCAAACCCCGTAACACTATGCTGTAAAGTTCCAGGACCCTACAATCCATACTGACTGTAGAGAACTGACCCAGTATCTCAGAGAGCAGGCCTTCAAATGCCCCGAGGGCTCTGCAAGTCGGGATTTAGGGTATTGAGGCTCACGCCGTCGGCTGCCGACTGCACCAGGTCGCGGCAATCTTCGAAGACCTCTTCCTGCCGGGGAAATCGAAAATAAGCTGTCCTTCCCGACCTAAACACCCGCAGGGGGGTTAGGGTTCAGGGACGAGGAGTTTAAGGTTCAGGGTCTAGCGAGTAGGGTGCGCGCATCGCTTTACGCTTTAAGCCCTAAACCTTAAACGCTAGTGTTAGATACACCTCCACAATCCGGCCAAAGCCCTTTTAAACCCTACCAGCTTGTCGGGGACTCTGTGGTGGTCATGCTGGAAACTGAAGATCGGGAAATAATGGGGGGACCCCTTCTGAGGGAGCCTAGGGGTTAGATAGGGGCAATTTCAGGTCGAACTGTTGCTGGAAAGGTGTACATAGGGTTAGAGAGGGTAGTAGGATTTTAAGGACCCCCTTCTAGGGGGGATTCGCAGGCGGCCTGTGTTCCAGGAGTGAAGACCGCGTCGAAGCCGAACTGCTCGTCCTTGACCTGTGCAGCGTGAAGGGCTCAGGGCTTAGGGGTGAAGACGGTAGTTGACCAAGTTCCTCAGCAACCAGGGTGACCAAAAAAAAAGTTTACAGATCCGACCCTCAACCCAGCTCTGCGGCAACAATGCGTAGAACGGCCAAGTCCACGAAGGACAGCAGCAGGCACAGTAGGGCAGCCCATGCTGCAAATCAGTGGGTAATGACATGTCCAAGAAGCAAGGGAGCAGGCGGTAGCTTAACCGGAGTTGAGGGTCCAGGGTGTGCGACCCTTGATGTCTCGCACAGCGCACCTTCACTGTCATCTGGTCGACTGCCTGCCGATCGCTTGAAGGGCTCGGCAACACTGAGCTAATGAACATGACTCAGACTAAACTTCGGGTGCTGAGTTGAGGGCTCAATTTACTCGAGATTGCCAAAACACACAACAAAGTCAGACGTGCACGTCGTAGGCTAGGTCTTGCAGTCACACCCTTGCGATACAGACACAGCCACGCACGCGCTCGTGCACACACACACACACACACACACACACTCTCTCTCTCTCTCTCCTCCCTCCCTCCTCCCTCCCTCCCTCCCTCCCTCCCTCCCTCCCTCCCTCCCTCTCTCTCTATCTCTCTCTCTCTCTCTCTCTCTCTCTCTCTCTCTGTCTCTCTCTCGCTCTCTCGTGCGCACACACACACACATGCTCTCTATGCCGTCGGGGCCTCGCAAATGCTGGTGTCCCCCTGACCCGTCTCCTGCAGGAACAGGGTTCGGGTGGTTTTGCACCTGCCTAGAGGTACTGCACATTTTGATTTGTGTTGCGTACAATCATTACAGTCCAGAACTTTTGCGGCGAAAACCAGAAGTTACAGTTCAAAAAATAGCGGACACCCTGATTGACAGAAACGCGCTTAAGCATTAGGTATAGGGTTCAAGCAAGCCGTCCGAAAAGCCTTTGCCTGCTGAAGCTCGGCGAGTTGCCAAAGCCTAAACCCTATCACAAAATCAGAAGGCTAAGTGAACCCATCAAAATTGAGAGATCTCAACCACAAGCCCAACCCCCCAAACTCAAAACCCTCAACTCTAACTCTAAACTGACTCGAAATACCCGAACAACCCTCAACTCCCAAATAAACCCAAAAACCTCAACAAACCTAATACCCCCTAAACCCAAGACCCTAAGCAAACCTAATAACCCCTATAACCGAAGATAAGGGGCCCCGAATATCGACCCACAAATAGGACTCCATCATAATCGTGACCCCAATTACTACCATTATTTGCTTACGAACCCCAAAAAAACAAAAACATATAAAAAAAGACTCTTCCGTAAAAAAAATCACATAGAGATTATTATTCTTTGTTTTTTGGGGGGGGTTCTTAAGCAAATAGTAGAATAAGGTACCCCACAATCGACTTGAGTCCTTCTTACTCAGCGGCCGCACGCGGCAGAAGACGCGGATGGAGCCCTTGAGGTCCTTGCAATGGAGTGAGGGCTTAATGTTTAGGGTTTTGGGTTTGGGTTCGGGGTTTGGGGTTTGGGGTTTGGGGTTTGGGGTTTGGGGTTTGGGGTTTGGGGTTTGGGGTTGGGCTTTGGGCTTTGGGCTTTGGGCTTTGGGCTTTGGGCTTTGGGCTTTGGGCTTTGGGCTTTGGGCTTTGGGCTTTGGGGTTTGGGGTTTGGGTGGATTTGGGGTTTGGGGGGATTTGGGGTTTGGGGTTTGGGGGGTTTTGGGGTTTGGGGTTTGGGGTTTGGGTTGGGTTTGGGGGGGTTTTCGGCGTGCAGGGCTGGGAGGTTTAGGGTTAAGAATTAGGGGGCTTACGGATGAGGGATTCGGAGGGAGAGGCCCACATGATTACCCCTAAAACCCTAGAGTCTAAAAAGCCCGAACTTCTGGCCACCTCCACGGCGTTGTGCAGCTTCTTGCGCCGCTGGTCGATGGCTACAAGGTCCTCGGAGCGCTTCTCACCCCCACCTTTCGGGGTTGGCCCTCTGCAGGGTGGCTTAGGGCAAATCCGCTTCTTTGGAATAACGCAGTCCTGGTTCATCCTTCCCTCCCTGGCCTCAAACCCGACAAACCCTAAACCCGCCCTGGCATGGCAACACAAAACTGAAATCAGCCGCGGGGCGGTCTCTGCAACGCCGGCCGCAAGAGCTTCCTGGCTCCCGGGGTTTTGGGCTTGGGGGCTAGGGCATTAGCTCAAGAGGTGCATGGTGTTTCTTTGGAGGCTCTTGGTCCAAAAACCCTTGCTGTATAAAGAACTGTTCTTAGTAGCAACCTACAAGACAAGAAGCTCAAACCTTGGGGGGGATGGGGGGAAGGTGCTAGCATTGCGGTTTAGGATGTCTGGTGGGGTGTAGGGTTTAGGGGATTCGAGGTTGAGGCGGGCTGTCTGATGTCACCCGTTGCAGGCTCACGCACCAAACCCAAACCCAAGCTCTTAAACCCTGAGCTCACGACCCCAAACCTTGTAAACTCAAGCCTAAGCCCTAAACCCTTAACCTCAATCGGTCCTTCAAGGCCGTCTGAAGCTTCTCGCGCATTTCCCGGAGAGCGTCGATGCTCTTCATGTCGACCTCGTGAGTGTCAGCTCAAGGGAGGAGGGTCAAGGGCTTGCTGTTCAGCTTGCATGTTACTAGGAGGGCCCGTAAAACCCTCTGAACAACTATTTCTGAATGTGATGCTATTAAAACCAATAAGGGGAAAGTCTACCGAGGTTAGGTCTGAGCGGTTCACGGTCTTCGGGCGCTACGCCCGACGTCGATGTCCGAGAACTCCCAGCACGCAAAGCCTAAACTTCAAACCTGCAGGGTTCGGCTTGCGGGCCAGATTGCGCTGAGGGTTTGGGGTTTTGCGCATGGGTTCGGATTTTTGGTGATTTAGGAGCTTCAACTCTGCAAAGCCTCCGCCAACCTGAAACGCTCTTGAAGCCCTGGACCCCGCCTGTCGCGTAAGGCTCTCGGTAAAGGCCATGACGTAAGGCTTGGGGTTTGGGGTTATTAGGATGAGTCCCAAGCCCCCAGGCTACTAAACCACAAGCCGAAGGAGCCCCGCCTGCTGGGACTCCGCGAGCACTTCGTTGACCCGCTTCAGCAGCTTCTCCTGGCACACGGGCACACTAGGGTTTAGGGTTTAGGGTTTAGGGCTCAGGGTTTAGGGTTTAGGGTTTAGGGCTCAGGGTTTAGGGTGTAGGGCTCAGGGTTTAAGGTTTAGGGTTTAGGGTTCCTGGTTCAGGGCTTCAGGGTTGAGGGGTGTATAGTCTTTAGGGTTTTATATAAGCCCTTGCAAGCCTTCGTCCCAAAGCCTACATTGTGCAACCCTGAAGCTAACCAACCGAACCCGCTGTTGTGGGGTCGGGCAAGCTCGAAACTGTTCCCTGCAATAGAAACCCAAAATTCAGCTGGTAATCTCCCAGAAAGTCCCTAGGCCCTTGCTCTCAACCCACGTCCCTTAAGGACCTTCAAGTAGGGTGGGTTCTCTGAAGTAAGGTCCCTTTTGGTCCTATAGTCATACGGAGTTTTGTACCTGAATGGTACCACCAAGAAGTAATGACCGGGCCTGAAAGTTTAGGGCTTAGGGCTTCTCCTCGGGCTTGGGGAATCAAGCTTGGCAAAAGCCTGTGTGGAGAGGCGCAGGGTCTCGGGTTGAGGGTGTTGAGGGCCTACGTCCTGCAGCTCTCCAAAACCCTCTGCTGAAACTGCTCGGCTCCTTCTCCTCCTCGCGCCTCAGAAGCTCCTCTGCCTGCAATGGAAGCCGGAGCTTGACCAAGTTTAGGGCTGATGGCCTGTGAGTTGCGTTTTTCTTCGGTTGGCTGAGGATTGATTGGGCTTGGGGCTTGGGACTCCGTAGGGCCTCTAGGGTTGGACTTGCTTTGAGGTCTTAGCGGCTTAGGGGCTTCAGGGCCTCAGGAATTTATTGTCATTTTCAAAATATTTTCAGGCGAAAAGCCAAACCACTCTTCAGTTCTCAAGGATCCCCCCAAGGTGCCCTTGGAGCCATCACACAAATTGCATGGCTTAGGGTTGGGGGTTCAGGGTTCCAGGGATTGGGGTTTAGGCTTAGGAATCGGCGGGGGGTCCAGGGAAAAGGGCTGGCACTCTGACCCGTAGACCCTGCCTAAACCGTAAACCCGAAATTGAGCAAGCCTTCCTAAGCGCGGGGTTGCTGCAGAATTCTCAAAGCCTTGGCGTACTCGCCAGCGTCGAGGTTTGCTTTCTTGCTGGCCTCGATTGCCGCCTCGGGCGATTGGTGAGCGTGTTTGGCGCACCTAAAGCCCTCAACTATTAGGGTTTTGGGTCCTAAACCCTAAACCCTAAACACTTAACCCTAGACCCTCTATCTGAGGCCCGAACCACCCCCGAAAAACCCCACAGGGAATCGGCTGTTTCCTACCTCCGCTCACCACCCGAGAGCCCTACAAATTCACCCCAGAATCCCGAACCCTTCCTGTAGGGTTGAGGGGTTGAGGGGTTGAGGGGTTGAGGGGTTGAGGGGTTGAGGGGTTGAGGGGTTGAGGGGTTGAGGGGTTGGGGGTTGAGGGGTTGAGGGGTTGAGGGGTTGAGGGGTTGAGGGGTTGAGGGGTTGAGGGGTTGAGGGGTTGAGGGGTTGAGGGGTTGAGGGGTTGAGGGGTTGAGGGGTTGAGGGTTTAGGGTATAGGGTGTAAGTGTAATCATCTAAAAACTGGATGGCGGAGTCGCAATACTTTAGTTGCCTATCTGGCGGGGGGGCTCTTAGCAGGTGATCCAACCTTGATCCCTAAACCCTGAATCTTAAGTCCGATAGCATGCAACCCTCACCCAAAACCCCTCTACCTTGAACTCTAAGCCCCAAACAAGGGCTCGGTCTCTGAGGAGGCTGCTATCAAGCCTGCCTTGGTCACCTGCTGGCAAGCCTGAACCAGGCAAGTCACATTTCTGGGGCCGTGGGACTTGGGTGAATTTATGGGCAGGGCTTAAGAAGCCCAAATTTCTGCGCATTCAAACGTAAACACGACAAGCCCGAGACCTATAAGCATTTAACCCCGTGCACTCAAAACCCAGTAAACTCTAAACCCACAAAGCCCTAAATCCTGAACTATAAATGCTTCCTTTGCGTGGGAAGACTGGAAGGTGCTTAGGGATCAGCTCAGGTAGTGTTTAGGGTTTAGGGTTTAGGAACCTGGAGGTCCATATTGGAACCTGTGAACAGGGTGCTCGTTGCGAGGCCTCCGGGGGGCTAAACCCCAACACCAAACACCCTGACCTCTAAACCACCCTGAACCCTAAACCCCTAGTCTTGCCACCTCCGACCCCTCAACCAGCTGCCTCAGCAAGTTGCTCTCGGGCTAACAGCTTTGGCTCCTCAACCAAGAGCACGTCCTGAGTTGGTGAATACGGCTTAGGGCTTAGGGCTTGCCCTAAACCCTGACATTTGGGGGCCTGCAGCGGGTTCAGCAGCTTAGTAGCGCAGTAACCATATTATAATGAGGGACCCTTTCTTTCGTTGGTTACGTGAGAAGGGCACGCAGAACCAAAAAAAGAGTAAAGTGTACCAGTCGGCAACCAAGACATTCAAGGTGTAGGGTTTAGGGCTCAAGAAACCTTGATGGCAATCCCTTATGGAGAACTATATTAGAGTTCGAGAAAGGGTTTTGCGGACCATCTATTTGGGGTTCCAACTGATCACTCGCCAAAACCCTGAATCCCAAAAACCCTACACCTCCTGCAAACCCTCAAGCCGCCAACCCTAAAACCCTCAACCCCTACAACTCTAAAGCCCCTAACCTCCCTAACGCCCTGCAGTCCTAAAAGCCAAGAAGCCTAAAATCCCAAAAGCCCAAAAGCCCAAAGCCCAAAAGCCCAAAAGCCCAAAAGCCCAAAAGCCCAAAAGCCCAAAAGCCCAAAAGCCCAAAAGCCCAAAAGTCCTAGAACCCGGGAACACCCATATATGCATATAGATAGATAGAACCTAAAACCCTAAAACCTCCAAACCCCCAAAGCCCGAGAATCCCGCAACACAAAAACCGTGAAAGCCCGAAAGCCTAACCCAAAAACCCAAAAGGCACCCCAAAAACTAAAACTCAAAAACTCAAAAACCCCACAGGCACCAACACCCTGGAACTCCAAAACCCTACAAAGCCTCAAGCTCTAAACCTCCAAAGACCCTACGATATCCTACCATCTAACCCCAACACCCTACAATCTAAGCCCAACAACCCGACAATCCCACTTCCAAGCCCGAAAGCCTTCCTAAACCCTAAACCCTAAACCCTAAGCTTAATCCCCCTCACTCCCCAGCAGGCCTCGGCGGCCTTGATGAGGGAGGCCTCGATGCCGGCCTCCTGCGAGAAAGAGGGGCAATTCTGAAGCTTATTGTGGGGGTTTGTAGGGCTTCTAGGGTTTGTGGGGCTGGTAGGGTTTCTAGGGTTTGTGGGGTTTAGGGTTTTGGTTTAGGGTGTAGGGTTTAGGGTTTAGGGTTTAGGGTTTGTGGTTTCTAGGGGCCGTTGTCGGGGTATGCTGAGTGAGGGACTAAGGCTGGTTAAAGGCTCACTGGTTCTTTCTTAGTCACCGCAAGCAACCCAGGAGCTCGTCCTAAACCCCCGAACGCCCAAACCTCCCCCCGAAACCCTCAACCCTAAACCCTAAGCCCTAAGCCCTAGGCCCTAAACCCTACAGAGGCCCCTCCTTTGCTTGCTGGATGGCGAACTTCAGGCCATGGACCTGGCCGGCGGCACTGTAAAACATTTCTTGAAGAAATACACATCTTCCACTCCCCTTAGAACCTTTTTATTATCCTGTGGGGTTTTATATGAACAAAAAACAATTAAAATAATTCCCAAGGGGGATAGAGATGTGCGTACTTGTAGCTGGGCTTAGCTGTACGTACCCGAGAAAAGGCCTGCGTGCGTATAATCGCTTCTAAATCTGCTGTCATCAGCCGGGAGGTGGCTCCGGCTGTCCATGTTCGTTTTGGATGCCTAGCAACGAAGCCATCAGCTCTAAAAACCTATGGGCTGCAGTTGGGGTTTTGAAGTAGGGCCTGAGTAAACCCTCAAAGTCTGCGTCCCCTGAACCCCAAGCCCCAAAACCCCTAGAAACCCACCCCCCTGGCCCTAACCCCGGAGCCGAACTTGATCACCCAAAACGCCGAGCCCTTGTTGCTTCAAAACAAGCTCCGTCCTGCTTAGGCCCCTCAGCCCTCGACCCTAAAACCCTAAGCCCCTGAAACAACAAAGCCATGAAACCCTAAACAAACCCGACACCTTCAAACCCTAAACCCCAAAACCCCATCTCAAACCCAAAAACCCTAAACCCTAGAAGCCTGAAAAACCCGAAAACCCCTAATCCCTCCGTCAGGCTCTGGGAAAAAGTAACAGGCCAGATCGGCATTTCTCTCCGACGTGGCTGTTTTGAGCGCGACCTGCGAGCCAGGCGACAGAACCCAGAGCTGGTGCTTCCGGGCTTTAAATTTTGATGTTTTTGCTGTTTTGGGGGTGTGGGGCTCATTTAGGGGTCAGGGTTTGGGGCTTCAGGCTTTAGAATCTTAGAGTTCTAGGGTTCCGTAGGCTTCGGGTGTAGGGTCTGGGGTTTGAGGGCAACAGGGTCTTGAGCTTTAGAGCTTGGGCTTTATGGGTTCGCGGGTAGCTAACACCGGCTGTAGCTTGGCAACATAGGACCTTACTTCTACTCCTACTCACAAGTAAGTCTTACAACCCCCAACCTGAGACCCCATAAGTGACGGGACCCTCTACTCGACTCCAGACGGTTTAGGGTTAAGGGTCTGTAGGTTTTGGCGGCTTTGGCAGGGGGCGTTGAGCCTTTGAGCAGCTGTTTAGTCTGAATTGAGCCTGAATCTTAAACCCTAAGCCCTAAGCCCTTAATGGTGCAGGCTTAGGGGTTGCCAGCAATTCGCTCCCAAAGAAAAATTCCAACGATTTGCTAAAGATCCTGACATTCGCAAACCTGGTCCGCCTTAGGGCCAAAGGTTTGCGCCTGGGGGACCCCTGCGCAGACCACCCTGAAACCTGAAAACCCGGTTTAGGGTTCAGGGGTTAGGGTTTAGGGCTTACTTGGTAAACCCTTACATCCCCAAGACCCTCTGAACAGCCGAGAGGCTCCAAACCCTGAAGCCGATCCTTCGAAAGCATTCAAAGACCTTCTGCATGCATTGCAAGCATACGCCCAGAAAGAAGCACACACAACACCAACTCCCATACCCTGAGCCAAGAGAAACTTGAAACAGACAACCCCCTAACCCTGAACCACAAAACGTTGAAGGCAAAAAACCAAGACATAACGAAGACGACAACAATAGCAATAACAAGAACAAGCATCGTAAGAAGAATACTAGCCATCATCAGAATAACGATAATGAACAGAATAACACTGACAATCATGACCATCACAATACAGCAATGAAACAAAATCCCGCAGTTTCGGCCTCGACCTTCTCCTTGGACTCGGCAGCTGCGATCAGGTCCTGCTGGGGTTCGCTTACCAGGGGGGGGTTTGTAGGGGGTGGGCTTATGTGGGGGGGGCAGAGGATTGATGGGGGGGGGTTTAAGGTCTTGGGGGATTGGGGGTTTGGATTACCATGAACTCCTAATGGCACTCCTTTTAACTCTGCCCTATACCTGCCTAAAACCCCCTAAATCCCCAAACCCTTTGGGCTTACCAAGGACAACCCCCCCCCCCCCCGTCCCTTCCCCGCTGCTCCTCCACTGCTTTCAGCTCCGAACCCTCCAAGCCAGAGGTCTTGGCTTCCTCCAGGGCTGCCTCGGCTTTGGCTTCACATTGGCTGCGTAGGTTTTACGAGCTCTCTCGTGCTGATTGTGGGCACTATTGTTTCTTGTTGGTTTAGGGTTTAGGGTTTAGGGGTAGCATGCTAGGGTGATGGGCGCTGTGCGTATCTTAATGATTGGAGTGCGTTGCTCTACTTTGTCCTGATAACATGGCTGCGTAGTATTGGCCTGTGAGGAATTTACAACCCCCAAGCTCCGAACCTGTTTAGGGCTTAGGTTTTGCCTCAGGGGATGAGTCACAGATTCTTTAGCAAAGAAACTAAGAACTTATGTAAACCCAAACCCCTCAAGCCTTTCAAGCCCCATCCGGAAATTTCGATCCCCCTTATTGCACCTTATAACCTTGATTGGTTTTCAAAAAAAACTTCCCGGGACCCTCAGTTCGAAAACAATCGACAAAGTGGTGACAAGTGCCCTAGATAGGTTTATAGTACGTACAGGTTACTTTCTTACACCCCCTATACTTGGAATACACGAACCTTCATGTGCAGCCCTAACCTGACTCATTGCAGCGCACGAGCCTTCAGAGCATCGACGTTGCCGGAGTCCTGCGCAGGAGGCTTGCCAGGGAATTCAGAGCTGAGGGAACAGCCTAAAAATCTAAGGCGCTCCAAAGCTCTAAAACCCAAACCCGCAATCCAAAAACCCCAACAAGTAAACCACAAAGCCACCCCGCCCACAACCACTGGTGTTCCCAAAGCAGGGGGGTGTCCCCAACCCCCAACATTCGATACACCTGCTGATAGGAACCCCCAAGAAACCTCCAGAAAGCTAAGCCCCAAAAGGCTAAGCACTAACACTCCTAAACCCTACATTCCTAATGCCCTGAAATCCTACAAGCACTATACGGTGTAAAACCCAATGAGGCCCTAAACCCTGTTTTCCCATGTATTCTAGGGATGAGGGGTTTCAATCGTTTTCAAGGAAGGTTCTGGCCCCAAGGGACAGCGAAGCCGCGGATGGATTGGCTCTAGTGGAGACTGCTCCTCACATCCACTCCGTACCCATCACGTAAAGTCCACAACTGTTTGTGCTGCGAGGCAGAGCTCGTACATCGGATCGGATCCAGCGGACGTCGTTGAGGAGGGTTGTGGAGTCTATAGAGCAGGGCAGTCATCGTAAGCCACGACAGCAATGATCCTGCCCTAAAAGCCCTACAACCCATGAACCCTAAACCCTGAACCCAAAATCCAAAAAACCCTCCACCCTACACCCTAAACTCTAAACCCTGAGTCCTGAGCCATACTAAACAAAAGCGTCCTTGGCGGCCTGCAGCTTCTTTCGGGCCTCCTGCCTCAAGCGCTCTGTGGCTAGCACCTGGTGGGCGGTGCTCGGCCTACGTGCCGGTCCCCTTGTGTGGGGGTTTGGGGCTCAGAGTTCTGGAAAGGGCCCGGGCTTCAGACTTAGGGTTTCGGGGTTACCGGGTGCTTGGCTTATCAGGTCTTTTTGAGGACCCTAGAGTTTGGGCTCATTTATAGGGAAACAACGCAAGATAGCTTCCGTCAGGTTGTTTAGGAAGCTGAGGGTGTCGGCTAAGCTCTTCTGAGGTGGAACTCAATCGCACAAAGCTCGCCAGCTCGGCAAAACCTGAAGCCTAACCCCTAAACCCTGAACCTAAAACCCTCAACCCCAAATTCCAGCAACAAAGTCTCCGCGAACCGCCGGAGTGCCTTCTCGGCTGCCTCGATCTCCGCTGCGGAGACCTGCGTAAGGCGTAAGGTTTAAGGTTTAGGGCTTAGGGTTTGGGGTTTAGGGTTTAGGGTCCTCAGGGTTTGGGGCTCGAGGCCCTCAGGCTTAAGGGCTTAAAGGGTTTGAGGGCTTAAGTAAGGGTTTGGGGGGTGAAGCCACAAAGAGGTCTCTTGCAACGAGAGCTTGTGAAGCTACACCCAGCCTAGGGTGGATGCAGAATGACCTGCACCCCTACACTCTAAAGCCTAAACCCTCAATCGATAAGGGTTTAGCATTTAGGGTATAGGCCGTAAGCTCAGAATGGAAAAGTACATTAATAGAACAAGACAATCATCTAATCACCTACTCATCTACTCTCATAAAGTACTAGTAGAACAAAGTACTGACATGTATAGGGGCTTCTGCTTCAAGAGGAGGTTTCGGGCCCCTGCTGCCACACCTCGGCCTTGCGCGCTTTCTCCAGGGCCGCCTCAAGCCTGAGGTCCGGGGCTTAGCGGAGGCTTAGAGGGTTCCAGGGGGTTAAGGGGCGGGAGTGCAGGGGTTCAGGGTTCAGGGTGTAAACCGGGCTGAGGAGTCAAGGGGTTCAAGCTGTTTAGGGGAATCTTAGGGTTTCAAGATGTTGGGGATTCAGTCATTTTTTGGCGTTCTCCTTTCCAACATTGCCGGCCATTCTACACCGATATGCCGTATTGGCAGGTTTGGGGGTTAGGGTTTTGTTGATTTGCATGCTTGAAGGTTCGTGGGCACTTGCAGGGTTCTTTCGAAGGTAACCTTTCCGACAACCCTGCAGGGTATGTACCAAGCCCAGCTGAGTGGCTTCTTCACATCCCCTGCGCCCGAGGCTTCTTTCAGCTCGTCGGAAGCCTTCTGCTTGGCCTGCAGGTTTAGAGTTTTGAGTTTAGTTGGCGTTTAGAGTATAGGGTGTGTCATGGGCCGTAGGCTAGCTCGCTGATGCTAGCTGTAGTGTATCTCACCCTAGCCACCCAAGCTACTTTCTCGGGGTTTAGTCCTCTAACCCCCCCCCCACCTTTGTCATGCGGCGTGCTGCTTACTCTCACTCACTCGCCTGACCCCTAAACCCTCGCAATTCTATGATAATTAAAAAGGAGTCCCAACCAAGCATGGGTATCAGGACGGGGTAGCGGGGTCTCGACTGGTGTGATTAGGAGGCTCCAAAAGGTCCCAGTGGGATGCTTGCAAAACCTGCAGAGCATGGCTGCATTTCATGGGAGGCTGCGCGGTTTGGTGTCAGTGCCTGAGTCTCCCAAACCCTAAACTTTGAACCCCAAACCCTGAACCCTATCAAGCCCGACATCGGGCCAGGGAACGGCCCTGTCTCCTCGCTCCCAAACCCATGGACCTTAAAGCCTACACCCCTGAACTCCTCAACCCTACAAGCGCCCTGAGAGATAAACCCTGAACCTCCCCCCCCGCCCCCACCAGTTCCCAATTGCACCCCCTAAACCCCCAAACCCCTGAATCCTAGTCTCTCAGCCCTGAAGCCTACACCATATAAGCCCCAAACCTACCCTGAACCCTAAACCCTAAACTCTATGCCCGAAACCCTAAACCCTAAGCCCTAACCTTCTGGCCTTTTTCATCTCCGCGGCTTTGGCGAGCTCCTCGTCGGTGGGGCCCAGCGGCTGCGCCGCCTTCGTTGTTGCGGCTTAGGGCTCTCAAGGGGGTTTAGATTTTTAGGGTTTAGGGTTTAGGGTTTAGAATTCAAGGGTTCAAGGGTTTGAAGGGTTTGAGGGGTTTGAAGGGGTTTGAAGGGTTTGAAGGGTTTGAGGGGTTTGAAGGGGTTTGAAGGGTTTGAAGGGTTTGAAGGGTTTGAAGGGCTTCGGTTTTGAGGCTTGAGGAGTTGAAGGGTTCAGGGTTAACGCTCCGGGGATTAGGGTTTGGGCCTTAAGCTTGGTTTGAGGGGCCAGGAGTTCTAGGGCTCCTGACACACCCGGAAACCTCTAAAGCTTGCACCGCGAATGAACATCCTTGGATCGAACATGTGTCAGTTCTGCCGGAACCCTCAACCGCTTCAAACCCCGAGTCCTGGGTAGGGGGAGTTTATGAAGTTTAGGACGCTAGTGTGCTCGATGATCAACTGTGTGCTTGAAATAAGCACTCATAAGTCAGCCCTTGAACCGGCCTTAAGATACTGAGAACCTCAACTAACACTAACCCCCTGTACAAACTTAAACCTATCACGTGAGCCTCGTCCTTCTTCTCCGACGGCTCCTTGGCCATACCATACCAGGTACCGTGCCATGCACGGAGTGCTTCTTGGGTGTAGGAAGCTGCTGGTGAACAAAAACTGTGGGACTCATCTTCGGTTGCCGATAAAGCCTTACCCCCGACACTTACATGTGGTTCTCAAGTTTTGGGGGGCTCGGGGGAGGTGCCAAAGGAACGAAGCTTAGAATTTTACCAAACATTGGGTGAACTACTTACCCGCCTTGGACTCATCCTTACGAACTCTACAATAAACCCTAGACGACCCTATTATCCCAGACCTCAAGCGGAAAGCCCACAAGTCCATCGCCAACCGCTGAGAGCAAGATCTTCAACATCTGGGACCCTTATCCCCAAAACCTAACCCGCAAAAAGCAGAAGAAACAGGGCCACTTGCCGGGTCTTGGTAAACCCTAAACCCTAAGCCCTAAAACCGAAGCCCTAAAACCCTACAGGTATGAGAGTGAACCCCCCGAGCCCTGGCTCCTGGACCGTGATTGCCATGTCCGCCTCCGCTGCCACGGCCTGGAGAGGGATCAGTTTAGGGTTCAGGGCTCAGGGCTCAGGGCTCAGGGCTCAGGGCTCAGGGCTCAGGGCTCAGGGCTCAGGGCTCAGGGCTTAGGGCTTAGGGCTTAGGGCTTAGGGCTTAGGGCTTAGGGTTTAGGGTTTAGGCTTCTTAGGGCTATGGAGCTTCTTCTTGCTAGGGTCACAGGGCTCGTTTCCTGGGTCATGGGGTCTTGGGTTTCAGGCTTACTCTACTTCGGGGCTCAACCCTAAACCCAAAGGGGTTGGGCCAAAGAGTCTGGAGCTTCCATGGGGTTCCACGATGGACTTTGTGCAGCACATAATTCCCAGCGCAAGCCTGGTGTTTGGGGTCTCGTAGGGTTTAGGGGCTAGACCCAGGAGTAACCTAGGAATACTAAGGGCACCCTTTTTGGTTTTTAAGGGATTATAAGGGAACCCAACCCTAAAAAAGGGAAATAAGGGCCTACTCCGGGTCCTAGGGTGACATATCACCAAAAGGTCGCAAGTTGTCTGTTTCTGGCTCAGGAGTGATGCATTTGTCGGCCTCCATCATGCCCTTCTCGCCCAAGCCGGTATCCGCCTTGGCCTTTGCAAGTGGTTGAAGAACCCGAAACCGAAACCCGTAAACTTTATGCATCGGATCTGGGGTTCCCTGAAATCCCTGATCCCTAAAACCCTGAAGGCCCTAGACCCGACACCGAAACCCTAAAAGCCCCCAAATCCCGAACACCAAATCCGAACTCACGAGCCAAGAGGGTTAAGGGCCTGCTTTGGGCTTTTAGGGTTTTGAGGGACTTTATACCTTTTGATGAGCTAAATGCTAAACTAGTTCAGGGTTTTTTGTTGTTGTAAGCTGCTGCTGTCAGCTGCTGTTGCTGTTGCTGCATGCGGCTGTCGCTGTTGATTCTGCCGCCTTCTTCTTCTTGGTGCCCTTCTCGCCCTTGGTTGCCTCCCCATCCTGGCGGGGCGCGGAACCCTCACCTAGACTTTTTTGCTCGTGAACCTTCAACCTCATAGACCCCGTAGAATTTACGGCTGAGGACCCGCTCATAGAGGGACGAAAGGAGCCCTTATCAGGGGATCCTAGTAAGTCGCAGAGAATTGTTGCTTGGGCCTACTTGGGTAGATGTGGACGAACTGAGGTTGTTTACATGTGTTTACCCTCAGCTCCCCAACGCAGCCCAGCCTAACTCTGCTTAGCTCTCAAGTGCAGCCGGTCGCAATTTACAACTCTAAAGTGGAAAACCAAGACACGGACAGCAAAAGAAAGACAGAAAGACAGGCACTTGAGAAGGGGGGACCTATAAATAGAAATAACTGAATAAGTATGCAAGTATGGGTATGTATATTATATATAAGACAGATATGCAAACATGCATGCAGACATACATACGGAGCTTTTCGGGGTTACCCTAAACCCTAAGCCCTAAACCCTAAATCCTGAACCCTAAACCCATCCTTCTTCTTCTTTTTGGCGGCCTGAGCTGGGGGTTCAAAGGGTTTGGGGATTATTTGGGGTTTAGGGTTTAAGAAGGCTGAAGGTTTCTACACAGGGTTTCAGGTGTTTCCGGCTTAGGATTTGAAGGGTTAGGGTTTGTGAAATGCTCTAGGGTTCAAGGGGCTTAGGGTTTCAGATTAGGGTTGGAAGGATTTCCCTAAACCCTTTGCCCTTTTCCCTGAACCCTAAACGCCTTGAATTAGGTTTGAAGGGTTTGGATTGAGTGAGTTTCAGGATATGGGTGCGGAGGCTCTTCCAGTTCAATCCCCAGAGCACTGAAAGGCATGAAGCCGTGAACCATGTGAGGCTTGCGATTGAGGATTTTCGCAGTTAGTGAATTGGATGACGTTCACGAGGCTTTGTCGTCCCCGAAACCCAAAATGGGCTCTTTTGAGACGGGGGGTCAAGTGGGGAGGTGCCTAGAACCTTTAGGCAAATTGAGACCTTGGGGAACGCGCCTTTTTAAGCACCGTTGCACCTCGATTCCTTGCAGGGTTTAGGGTTTAGGGCTCCTTCGCTTTGTGGTTGCTTCCGCTGCTGTGGCCCCGGCGCCATCACTCGGCGAGGCTTCCTCGCCCTCCTGACAACAGGCAATCTTTCAGCTAAGCACTTTAACCCTAAACCCCACCCCTAAACCCTGAGCCCTAAAACCCTAAACGCTAAACCCTGCGAATAGTGGAGATTGCAAGGGGTTCGGACTCAGGTTCAACGTTCAACCCATTCATCCCTCCCAGCTTGAACTCACCCTGACAACAACCAGGTCCTACACAAATAAAGCCTGGAAACCCAGAAACCCTAAACCTTGGGATGTTCCCCCTTACTAACAGTCCGTATTAGGGACTGTAGTACCCTCTACTAAATATCCCTATGAAGGACTGCTGGTAGAAGGGGAACATCCGCCGAACCTAAACCCTACACCCACATCTCCTTGGGCTTCTTCTTCGCGACCTTCTTCTTTGCGCCCGGCGTCTGCCACGGCTTCGGTAAGCTGAGTGGGTTGTTGGTGTGGGGCCTAGACCCGAGGGTCGGCGCCTCGAATTCAGGTTTCGGGCTCAGGGTTTTAGAGCTTAGGGTTCAACCAAAGATTAGGGTTTAGGCCCGCCACATCAGGATTTTCAAGACCGAGTGCTCGACGGGCAAGTGTCTCACTCCGTTTCCTAAGCCCTAAACCCTAAACCCCGAACCTGTTTGCTGTTAATAAACAACCTAAATCCTACTGTTTCATTATAACAAACAGCTTTGGTTCAAAAAACATCAGAAACCGTCCGGGTGGAGGCTCGGGGATGGCACGAGCAGCTACGGAAGTGTCGGGTCTTGGGCATTGGGTTCAGGAGTTGGGAAATAAGACAAGCAGACTACACCCTAACCTTATTTCGGGTGTTTGTAGCCCAAGTCAGTGCACGTTGAAGCCGAGACCCCAAACGCATCAACCAAGCACCTCAAGCGGTCACCCACCCTGAGCGATTCCCGTGGGCTTCAACAGAGAGCTGTCGGGAGGGGGACCCAAACCCCGAATCTGACGGCTTAGGGGTCCTCTTCTATCTCTACTTCAACACAAAGCACGCTAGACCCATGCTTCCAAAAGATTCGATAGATGCTCATCAAGCAGAGTAGATGTCACTTGTCCTCCTCGTTTCACTCATCCCAAGCGGTAAACCCCAACGTCAATCGAGTGGCGTAGCTTCATTAAGACGAACCCCCCCCCACCCACCTGATCAGCGTCAGTCGGGTATCCTGCAGTCGCTGCACCTCGCATTGTAGGGGGAGTTCTGGGTTTAGGGCTTGAGCCGATGGATGGGGTTCAGGCGTAGTAGGGGTTCAGAGGCTTATCCTTTCTCCCTGCCTCCTTTAACACTGCCGCGGTCATCAACCCTTTAGGCCTAAGCGTAAACCCGACAGAACCTGACATCCATGCGATGCCAGCGTAGATCCAACGGATTGTCAGATCAAACCCAGAAAGCATGTAGGCCTTAGGGTCACCATCGGCTGGAGACCTCCACATCCCAGCGTGCGGAGGGCCCGGTAATCCAAGCCCCTTTAATATAGCGGCCTATGAAATGAAAGTTAGGCTTCGGGCTTGGGGGCCTATGTACTTTCACCGGTCTTTGGGCAGTTTAAGTTTATATCAGACGCACGCAAGGCTTATGAGGGAGCATTGTTGGTGCGGCGTAGGCCCCGCATGCTTGAACCCTCTACCCTCCTCTGAACGCCAAGCCGGAACCCACATCGCATCTGCTCTCAGAACCCCGATTTGAAAACTTGCATGGACCGTTTAGGGAACTAACACCTCAGAACCCAAACTCTATAAACCCCTCAACCCCTCGACCCGCTTTAACCTCTTAACCCCTAAGCCCCTGAACCCCTGAACCCTATAGAACCACAAAACCCCAAAACCAGGGCCCTCGCTCAGTGCCGAGGCTGGTGACACCGCGCTCTCCTGAAAAGGCATCATTTTGAGGCTTTTCGGCTTGAAAGGGTTTGGCGCCTTGGGGTTTAGGGCTTAGGATTAGGGAATTAGGGTTGGGGTGTTTTGGATTGGGGGCTTTAGAAGTTTAGGGTTCGAGGTTAGGGTTTAGTGGAACATGCTTGAACCAGGGGCAAGGGGTTAAAGGCTGGGAGTTTGAGGTGGAGGCTTTGGGCTTTAGGGCCAACTTAGGGGTGCTTGGGTTTTGGGGTTGATGGCCATTCCCAGTGCTCTGCGACGCCCGCGACACTTCACGACAAGCCCAAAGGGCCAAACGCGCGACGTCGGTATGCAGCGATGAAGCCGTGTTCCATTTGGCGTGAGGATTTGGTCTTCAGGCCCTCTAGAAGCCACGAGAAAACCGGATCGCGCGATCTCAGCAGACTGCCCTCAACCTGAAATTATGCTGAAGTTACTGCACTACCCCTCGACAACGCCGAAGCCCGGACCCCAACCTTCTCAATTGGACATTCAACAACATTAAAACTCTTGAACCTTGCAGCCCTAACAGGCTCTCAAAAAAATGCTCGGCCCAGGGCCCCCACCGCAGCTTCAGGACTAAGGGCCGGTGCCTGGTTGCGGGGTTCGGGCGTCAGGGCTTGGGCTTCGGGCTTCAGGGATTGAATTCAAGGCTCAGGGCTTGGGTTTTGGGGTGAAGGGTCGAAACTTTTAGTCCTAGCGAAGCCTCAGAGCTAGATACCCTGAACCTTAAAAACTCTCCGGATCTCTCCGGACCCAGGGGTGTGGGATTGAGCTTTGCGGGGGAGTTGGGGGAGGGGGGTTTCAGCATGCTGCCGCACTATCCACCCGGGAGCCTGAAGCATCCTAAGGCTCCAAAGACCCTACGCGGTCCTATACAGCCACATTTGCGTAGACATGGACTCATGTAGATAGACATAGACATAGGAATAGAAGAAGACATAGGCATAAACGTAGACATAGACATATATAGACACCCACAACCCATCCTGAAAAGAGCTTGCAAACCCGAGAAGCCTCAGAGGTCACGTTGAATGTCACGAGCAGAACGAGCAGAGCGGCAGTTACGATTCAGGGCCCAACACACGCGCACAAACCTTCAAACCCTCAAGCCCTCCGTTCAAACATAGGCAAACCCTCAAACTCTAAACCCCCTCCAGCTCTCAAACCCTCAAACCCTAGAGCAATACAAACAAAGCTTCATGGCACCCCAGCCCCCAACACCAAACCTTAACCACATCCTGGCTTCTTGGGTTTTAGAGTCTAGGGTTGCTTCGAGTCAAAGAGCTTGGGTTTAGGGCTCCTAGACCCTACACCCTGAAATCCTAAACCCTAAAACAAACCCTCAAGCGGAAGCAAAAACAGCTTTCTCGATTGACTGGGCCTCCGTGGACAGGGACTCGGCACCTGTCCGCTCAAGGTCTCCACGGGCTCAGGGCCCCGGAGGTCAGGGCTTAGGGTTAACTTGAGGTTTAGGGCTACTTTGCACCCCAGACCTTAAAAGCACCAAAAGGGAAACATAAAATCATAAGTCCCGTAAATTACACTTGAGAGCTTGATCGGTGCACACGGCCCTTCCTCACAAGTCTGGGTCTTTTGTGCCCTAACCCCTTACCCCCCGCCCCCCCTTTCCCCCTTACCTCGTTACCCACCTACCCCCCCTACCCAACCCCCCTACCCAACCCCCCCCACCCCCCCCCCATGCATTACTCGGTACCCGCCTCGCGTTGGCGGCTGAATTCCGAAACCGTGTGATTTACTCTTCATCCACATTGCGTAAGACAAATGAGTTTAGATTCCTGAGGCCTTGAAGCCCTTAAGCGCTGGCTTAAAACCCTTCTAACCCTTCAAGCTCTAAAGCCCTTACACCCCAAAACCTCATGCGATCTCCACTTAAAGAAAGACGGTCACCCTGCCCAAGGAACCCTAAGCCCACTAGAAAACCCAACCCTGCGCCTCTTATAAGCCCAGTAACCACATCATTATGGGGAGGGGTCGGTACTGACAGCTTGTCTGTTAAAGAAACATGTACACTCTCTAAAGCTAAAATCCCACAAAGGCATGTCACTTGAGCACATAGAAGGCGTGACACCTTGTTAAGGCTTTAATCCCTAAGCCTTGACGCTTCTGGGGATTAGGGCTAAACCTCAAGCCCTAAAGCTTTATACCCCATAGGGCTTGGCAACCAAGGGCCCTAAGTCGCCGAAAAAGGCGCGCCCCCAAAAGAGCAAACCGAAAAGTCCAGGGCCCTTGCAGGAAGCCGTCTCGGGATCCAGAGTGGGCAGCTTCAGCTTGCCTCGCAACCAACGACTCTGAGGGTTTAGGCTTTGGGGTTTAGGGGTTAGGGTTAGGGTTCGGGTTGCGGGTTTAGGGTTGTGAGTCAGGCTCGACCTGCGAAACCCTAGACCCAACGACATCCGTACAATAAGCCCCCCCCCCCCCCCCCCATGCACAAGGCGGCACCTCCGGAGACGGGGGAGGAGGCATCTGCCTCGTCCTCCTCCTCGTCCTGGCGTGCAATCTATTGCTCTTGGTTGGGATTCTGGGCAGTTTGAAAGCCCCCCCCCCTGCGTAGAGAAACCCTGAAACCGCTTCATGGGTTTCTCTCCAAGTCCTTAAACCCCAGGCCCGGATTGGCTATACCTCCAGGGGTGCTAGAGGACCTGCAGCTGCCAAGGGAGGGGCGGAAGTCTCGAAGCCCTGCACCACTCAACCTAAAGGCCTAAATGGGGTTTCGGGTTATAATTCCCCCCCTGCGTTGTTATCGTTTCAGGCAGGGTTTAGGGTTTACATAGGGTCTAAGCCCCGCACGCCACTTCTCTGCTGCAGCTGTCAGACGCGCACCCCTGCACCGTCGAAATCGACCCCAAGATCTGCGAGGAGCAGTCTGTCACAGTGAGCACCGCCCAAAAGCGCGAAACCCAAACGGCCTCCACCCTTCACTCGGTTGAGGGTTTTCAGTGCACTCCTCATATCCAGAACCCCACGCCTTGCCATTCACATCCGTATGTCGAAGAGTCTGAGAACCCCAAGCCCTATACCCTAAACCCGCTGCCCAGTGACCTCATCGTCGAGGCTGAGCTTGTCCCGGGCGCCCGCCTTTTTCAGCAAGTTCACCTCAGGCGGCTCTACGGCTCTAGGTGTGTAGACGGCCTAGGATTTCGACACACGAACTTTTAGGGCCCTGGGCCTTTGGGGATCAGGGCTTGTTTCTTTGGGCACTTCGGCGGCCTCCCAGACAGAGCAGGGCTGGGTGAAATGCATTCCCTGTTTGTTGTGGGGCGGGGGGGAGGGGGGGGGGGGGCGAGGAGGTGTCATGGTTCATGCTTATGGGCTGCCTGAAAATGTGTTGCTAGTTTGTTGGGAGAGCGTTAACTATTGCAATGACTTTATTGGACGGATGGTACCTTTAAACAAGTACCTTATTCATGTCTCCGTGAAGCTCTAAGTTGGTTTGCAGGGTGTTGAGTGCAGGTGCAGTCCTCTCAACACCTGAAGCTGAGCCCCTCAACCTCAAACCCTAAACCCTAAAACCTAAAACCCTACGAAGGTCCCACAGGGGCTTGGTGGCCCGATGGTGTGGGGTAACTGCCGCCAGGGTCGCAAGCTTGTGCTGGTTGAACTGGGTGGCATAGTTCAGGCAAGAGTGGTTCTCGTAGTCGAACTCGGCATTTGGGTCAGGTTAAGAAGGGTTTAAGGTCTAGGGTTTTGGGTTTTGGGTTTTGGGTTTTGGGTTTGGGGTTTTGGGTCTAGGGTTCAGGGTTTAGGGTTTAGGGTTTAGGGTTTAGGGTTTAGGGTTTAGGGTTTAGGGTTTAGGGTTTAGGGTTTAGGGTTTAGGGTTTAGGGTTTAGGGTTTAGGGTTTAGGGTTTAGGGTTTAGGGTTTAGGGGCTCGGACCCGAGTCAGGACTCGGGGCCTGGGGCATGCACCCTACTCTTAGTAAAGTATAAGGTGGTTGTAAATACAGTGCCACCGCAATCAATGAAGTCCCCGGTTGAAGACGTCAGCTGCAACGACTGGCCCTAAAGAAACCGGAAAACCCTCAAAGTGCCAGTTGAGGGGCCAGAAGATGCGCTTGGGTTGCATCGGGTGTTTTGTCTGGGGCTTTGGGGGTTTAGGTGGTCTGAGACATTAGCAGCAGGGGCTAAGCTGCGTGGTGTTGTTCGACTCGTCGCAGCTGTTGCTGGGGGTGGGCGGGGGGGTGGCGGGGGCGGGGGGGTGGCGGGGGCGGGGGGGGAGTCCGAAGACCAGCTGCGATGGTGCTCGCCAAAGAAGAAAACTTCTGAAACCCTATGCACCCAAAGCCAAAAACACCCTAGAGACCTTGTCACTGAACCCTAAATCCCTAAACCAGGGTGACCCCTGCTTGGGGTTTAGAAATTCGAGCTGGCTTCAACCTGTTTCGGGTTCAAGGGGCAGGGGGACAATTAGCGTTGAAGTCGAAAGCCCTTAAGCCCTAAAGCCCAAACCCTTTAGATCTCAGGGTCTATCCCGAACGCTCCAAAGTCCAAAGCCCCCGGCGTTGTTGACGTTGGCCTGGGCCAGGATGAGCCTGCGGGTGATGGCCTGCGCTGTCTTGGGCGCTGAATGGTTTGGGCGCAGGGGGCTTAGGTCATGGCACTAAAACCAGAAGGCCCTGTAGTACAGCCGTATGTCATATGAGAATCATGAGCTTAAACCGAGAGCAGAACGACTTCATTCTCATCGTGAAGACACAACCATATTCTTTCTCCTAAACCATTTTGCCTTCTCAGGGGCTCCTTCTGATTGCGGGTTACAGTTTCGCAAGGGCTTCGGGTTTAGGGTTTAGTGCTGGGGATGAAGCCTCGCAAGGGGCCGGGAGCGTACGTGACATGCTGTCGTGTCGGGTTTAGGGGGCCTTAAGGAGGCTAAATGGACTTTAGGGAGCGACTCAAAGCCCCCAAAACTGCGCCTCGTTTCCATTCGCCACTGCGAACATCAGAGGAGTGCATCCATTGTGGTCGCGAGCCTCCACATCAGGTTTGTGGGTAGCCTGGGGACTGCTTGGGGATTGGATCGGCTGGGAGCTTTGGGATCAGGGGTCTAGGGTTTTAAGGGTTCAGGAGCTTAGGAGTTAGGGCTTCGGGTGTTGCCGGCCTTCAGAGCTTCGGGATGAATGTTCAGAATAAAGTAGCTCGGGCTGAGACCACATACAGGGCTTAGGGTTTACAGGGCTCAGGACATGCTGGTTCTGGCAATCTTCTGACCATCTCTTCCTTCTCAAATTCTTCTTGTTCTTCTTGGCCTGTTCTTCCTGAGAGTCCTTGCATGCGAAGTCGGCGGAGTAAAAAAATCACACGCTTTGCTGACAATGCTTTTGTTCCTATATCTGCCGGGCTTTTTAGAGAACCCTCCTGCTCGAAGATCATGCTGGAGTGATGGAGATTGCTCACCCCGACCCTAAAACCTAAACCCGAAACCCGAAACAACATGCTTAACCAGCAAAACCCTCCGAAGACTTAAGCCCTTCAGAGTAGAAAGCCCTCTGAACCGTGAACTCTTTCAAAGCTCCAGGAGGTTAGGGCTTCGGGTCCCCAGACTCTAGGGGGTTCTAGATGTTGGGCGGTTGGCGTAGGGTGTGGTTAAGAGGCACGAAGCCCGAAATCCCCCAAACCATGAAAAACGATAAATCCGCCCCAACCTTAAGCCCTAGACGTGCCAGAGTCCTGTTCTTGCGCACAACTCGCTGCAAGTCCAATTCTCCGAAGTGAGGCGCAGTGGCGGACGGCTCTGCTCAGCACAGTCCGATTAAGGTTTAGGGTTTAGGGTTTGGGGCTTAGGGAATTTCTGGGTCTTGCGGGTTGGGGGTTCACGGGTTTAGGGTCAGGCGCGATGGGCCTAGGCTGGACACGCTGAAGCGCCCCAAGAGTAGTTCCTTCGGTTCGCTCAGTTTTTAAGGGGACCCTAATGAAAAAATATTCTACCCATCTAATTTTCAGCTGCATCCTGACAATCTCCTCGTGGTTCAGGGTGCATTTGAAGCACCCCAAGTCACTACTGAGCCATCTGCCCTCAGGGCCGCGAAACCGGAATCCGTGGCGCAGAGCTGCTGGACCTCCGCTGTTTGTCAGGGGAGACTCCGGATTTGGGGCTAACTCAGGGTCTTCGGGCAGGGGGCCAAGGGGTTTGGGTTCATAATCGTGATTTTATTGCTTAAAGGGCTGATAGGGCTTTAAGGGCTTACAGGGCTTAGGCTCCCGAGTGCGCAGGTTCCACCGCACAGGGTCGTCTTGGTTTCCTGAAGCTTTTGGCTTGGTGTCGAAGGCTTTGGGATAGCAGCAGGTGTTGAAGAGCCTGGCTTATGAGCGCCTCCGTCAGGTAGCCTATGAGGATTGTACAGGGGGACATCAGGCACCCGATTCCAAACTTTCCGAGGATCGCTGGAGTACATCTAGAAACTTTGTAGTTGTTGTAACTGTAGTTATAGGTTGTAGTTGTAGTTGTAGTAGTAGTAGTAGTAGTAGTAGTAGTAGTAGTAGCAGTAGCAGCAGCAGTAGCAGCAGGAGTAGTAGTAGTAGTAGTAGTAGTAGTAGTAGTAGTAGTAGTAGTAGTAGTAGTAGTAGTAGTAGTAGTAGTAGTAGTAGTAGTAGTAGCAGTAGTAGTAGTAGTAGTAGTAGTAGTAGTAGTAGTAGTAGTAGTAGTAGTAGTAGTAGTAGTAGTAGTAGTAGTAGTAGTAGTAGTAGTAGTAGTAGTAGTAGTAGTAGTAGTAGTAGTAGTAGTAGTAGTAGTAGTAGTAGTAGTAGTAGTAGTAGTAGTAGTAGTAGTAGTAGTAGTAGTAGTAGTAGTAGTAGTAGTAGTAGTAGTAGTAGTAGTAGTAGTAGTAGTAGTAGTGGTGGTAGCCGCCACGGATCAGACGGCCGGGCACTTGCATCCTGGAAAACCGGGCTTTGGGCGCAACTGCTGTCCTAGAGGTTCAACCAGTCCTCAGGGGAACGTAACAGCTTGTGCCTTACTGTGAGCCATGGTGAGCCGCGATCTTTGAGCCTCCCAATTCCCGGGCCTCCTGAGCCCAGACATTGCAGTCACTGCACTCTTTCAGGGGGTAGGCGAGAGGGTTTCCACTGCTCCGCGAGGTGGAAGGAGTACCCACACGAAGCAAACGCAGCCTGTTTCAGGTGGGGAAAAACTAGCGGATGGCGGTACCTTCGAAGCACCAAGACAATTTTCGGAGCATTCGTAAAGTTGCATTCAGGAGAGCATTACTTTAGTTTCACGCACTCAGCAGAGTGTATCCTACAGGAAAGGGGTCTTAACGCCGGAATATGTGGAGAGAAGCGGCCTGCGCCCTCCCAGCCTGCCAATAGCGACAGAGGGGTCGACACAGTCGACGCCCCCCGCTAGGCGCACAGCGCCCCGACCCAGACGTGGAAACATGGCCAAACCACTGAGGGTACTGACTTGGAACGCCGGGCACTTAGGTCAACAGCAATGGGCTGAGCTTCGCACCTGGCTGCGCACAGCTTCTGATCAGTATGATGTGATTGCCCTGCAAAAGAGACGCACTGGCAGGAAAGCACTGAGTTTGATGTTGAGGGGTGGCACTGCATAAGCTCAGCAAACAAAGGCAAGGTTAAAGCCCCCAAAGCAAAAAGTAAACCTGTGCCCGACCATGCCTCTGAGACACAGACGGGCAAGCAACCACAAACTCAGCCAGTTCACGACGACAAACGGGCGGACGGGGTAATGATACTCACGGCCCCGCACATTCCCAAAGCCACCATCAGATGGAGCGAGCATCAAAAAGGGAGGGTCTTGGAAGCGGTCTTCCAATGGAAGGGCGCACGCGTGCACATAGTGACGGTGTATCAGCATGTTTGGACCACCTCCAAAACAGCCCAGCAAAACCGAGAGGACAGATCGAAGTGTCTTGCATCCTTATCCAGAGCGGTCCGAGGAGTTCCGCAGCGTGACACGTTGGTGGTTCTAGGAGATTTCAACTCTACGCTGAGCACAAGTGCGGGCATCGTAGGTACCTGCACTCCAGGTTCTCCGCCACATCGCTCAGCAGAGGATGCATACCTCCAACGCCTCGTTCAAGGACATGGACTTGTGGCGCTCAACACATGGTCCTCGGGATCGGGCTTGACGTTCCGCACGGCCACCTCAGAGTCCCAAATAGACTATATCCTTGTCCCGAAGTCACTAGCGCGTGGGGAATCTAAGCAGAGCAAACCTCTAACAGACTTCCCGCTGGGACGGTGGAAAAAAGGCGGTCATTACCCGGTCGAGGCTAAGATTCGCCCCCTCAGGCACTGGCAACTTTCCTCCCACCCTCCCCCCCCCCCTCCCTACGATAAGCAGGCTCTCGAAGAGGCGGTGCGATATAATCATCCCAAAGCACAAGCAATGAAAGAGTGGGTTGCTGACCAGCTCTCTCAGATCACCACGGTTGACATGGAGGAGGTTAACGATGTGCTAATCAAGGCGTCTGAACGCTACTTCCCAAGAGCCCCTAAGCCCTCCTCCCCTCCCCTTAATGCAATGCACAGGGCAACCAAGCGCATGTGGGCCAGGTTGACGGCCTTGGATGAGGACTTAGCCAGCTCAACGCTATCCCTGGCAGATCACGAGATACTGGTGCAGGACCTCTCCACGTGGCACAAGCAGGCTGTCACAAGAGCACGTAGACAACGCCTAGCAGATTTCACTCACGAGACCAATCTACACAAAGTGGTAACTCCTATCAGGCTCATAAGACATTGCAGAAGCTCCGCCCCTGGCAGCCGCAGCCTAAAACGCAGTTAGTCAACAATGACGGCTATTTGATGGCTGCAGAAGAGGAACTCAAGCTCATGCAAAACCATGCTAAAGCAGTGTTTCAACGGCATGACAGACTGCAATTTGAGGTCTGCAGCCTGCCAACGCTCTCAGCCCCCCTGCTTTCGAAGCACATCGGCTCCATCAGACCACACAAGGCTGTCCCTCAGAACTCAGCGTCGGCAGCCGCATGGAAGCTATGTTCCGACTCGGCCAGTGAGCACCTGGCAACGTACTGCAACGACCAAGCCCGCAAAGCTGAGCATAGCTCGCTGCTCGCTCCAACCCTGTTCTCCTTGCTGACAGGAAAGCTATTCCGAGAACTCGCAGAGGTCGTAGGCTGGGATCGCGTGCTGCATAGCTTGACGGGCTACGCAGATGACTTGACTGTTCATCACACTGTCACCAGCTGGAGAGAATTGCTGCAAGCACACAACATGATAGCTGATCTTCTCCGCATTGTCAGAAAATATGGCTTTAAAGTGAACGCTGACAAGTGTCACTTAATGGTTAAGCTAACAGGCACTGCCTCAGCCCGTGCACACAAACTTTTCAGTCGCACAAGCCTAGACGCCCAGGGAGTACAGCACCGCAAATGGCGCATTGGGAGCACAAAAGCCCAGGAATCATTCCCGCAGTCCGCATCCTTTAAGTACCTTGGAGTGTACGTTTCCTATGGCAACCAGGAAAAGGCGACGTTGGATTTTAGATTGCAGGAGGGCAATGCCAAGCTGCAACAAGTCCGACGATATGTGCACAACCGAAGACTCTCAGGTCCGAAAGCAGACTGAAGATTTGGCACACAACAGTTTGGGCGACTGTCTCGGCCGGTCTAGTGGACATCGGGCTCACAACGGAGACAGCGCAACAACTGCGAAGGTGTCACGCCAGAAAAATCAGGGCGGTCCTCAACAAACCCGTCCATCTTACGGGCATATCGATGCATCACCTGTATGCAGCCTACGGCATCAAGGATCCCGTCCAGCTGCTGCTGGAGCGCCAGAGCAACAGAGTCAGATCGCTCAGAACCAGACAGGGAACCTAAACAAGGCCTGCTGCACTGCATGAGGCTCCGAGAGATGCACAGCATCCACACGGCCATCAGGATGCTGCGCTGCTCCCCAACGCTCTTCAGTACGCGCAAGAGGTTCTTGCAGAGTATGAGGCCTTGATAGCAGTAACCCAAGAAGAGGAAGAGCCTAGACATTGCTG